AGTAGAGTCCGGTCCTCGCCAGTACCAAGGAATCTCCAAGCACGACATGAAGGACATGGGTGCTGAGGAGATTGCGAGGGCCCTCGCCATCCACAACGTACCCTGGGACCGGTCCGATGAGAAGCGGTGGGTTGTTGACTTTGTAGGTGTCTGCAAAGCTTTCCTGTAAGCCCACCACCCCAACCTTGCCTGACGCGATGTTGACTATGACAGATCATCTTGGTACCCTGCCCACTACGGCTATGCTTCGCACGCCATCAACAACGCTTGTCAAGTGCCCCGCTCTTTCTTCAGATATCTTCGCTTTCACCGTGTCTGCCCCGAGTTCGACGAACAGCTTGCCACTGCGCTCCAAATCTGTGACCAGGCCGAGCGGGAGCTTCCCAAGGTCAACTCCGTAGGTCTTGCCCTACCCGGAGACTTCAACAAGTCCGCTAGCGTTGTCTTCGGTGGCGCTCAGGCCGACATATATACTGGCGACAAGTCGTGGGCTGAGGACCTCAAGAAGGAAGGCCTGACTGTTTCCGAGATCGGTATCCGGAAGGAAGAGGCCAGGGTCAAGTTCGGTACTGGCATCGCGGTTCTGGGCTCGGATGCGCAGTACGATATGTTCGAGTCTGGAGATCTGCAGGTTCTCAGCAAAGAGACTGCCTATCTTGAGGTCACCGCCGTCCAGCTCCCTGACGACGACACGAAGTCCGCATATGCAGAGCAGAGCAAGCTCTTCAAACATAAGCTCGGCCAGCTTGAACCTCTCGGCAAGCTCCTGTGCAAGACCTGGTACACGGATGACTGTGATGAGTGGGACCTACCCAAGGACAACAGCAAGTATCCCAACGGCAAGCCGCGCAAAGCTGGCGACGGCAAAGAGTACGAATTCTGGATCGAGGAAGACATCATCAAGGACTGTTTCGTGGGTCTGAAGATGGACGCCAACATCATGCACCTCACCGGCGGCATGACCATTCTCGACGACATCAAGGAGACCATGTGCAGCTTCTATACCTGGATCCCGAACGAGCTCTGGATGGAGCGGAAGCCCAAGGAAGTGCGCTGGTTGAAGAAGGGCATGGGTCTCGATGATGACGAGGACGAGGCTGAGATTGATGGCTCGAACAAGGAGAGTGCGGATAAGATCGCTTCCGACGACGAGTTTGACGATGAGTAGACGGGTAGGCGAAGGCAAGCCGATAAATTCTCGTGGAGATGATGTGATGAAACGGTAGTTCGAGATACTTTGGTCGGGTCTTGTACCCAGCTGCTTAGGGTGATTCAAGGTTTGGCTCGAAAACTAAGATCTCAAGGGGGAAATTCACGATGTTTCTCCAGTTTTGCCAAGGTTCCCTCATAATACGTAATCTATCGTGAAATCGGTGACAAGATACAGTGCATCTCAATAAACTTAGGCTACACGCCTAGAACTTTCTCGATCCTAAACAAGTGGCGTTCATCGCGAAAGGTAGTGCATTCTGCGTTTGCGCAGGCCACAGGGACGCGCCTGTCCCCATGTTTGGCGTGCCTGCGCCACACCTGGACGCCTCAGTTTCACAAGAACGTACTCGCTGGCCTTTAGCCAGGACAACACCACAACACAGAAACCAGGCACGTAGCCCAAGGCCGAACGATCCGCCGATAATATCGCGCAACGAAGAAATGCCACGGCTCACGTTTGCATCGGGATATTACTTGGCCGCGACGACTATACACCACAAAGACACTTGGACGACGCCTCAACACCACGCCGTAGGGTCTGGTAAGACGCGAAGTCCCGGCGTGCGGCTACTTCGGCGAGCGGCCTCATTGCCAACACCTTGGCAGCGACACACGCCATGACTTTCGTTGGTTTGCCAAGGCCACGCCGGCGGATCAGGTGGTAATTCCTGACGCGTGTGCTTGCTCCCGGGCCTTTCGTTCGAGGGTGCAACCGTGAAAGAGCGAGGTACGACTACGTGTGTGTACCGAGTTAATATCAAAGGGAGATGTGCCTGGGTCGGTAGCAGTAGTGCCCGCGGCACTGCGTTGCATGGTGTGTATACCCGCCTTATCCGTCTCCCGTCTCGCATTAAAGACGTAAGTGTCGCGGGTTACCCGGCCCTACCTAGCCAGCACATGTGAGACGGACTGGGGACGTGGGAGCTGGAGGAAAGGAGACGCGCAGTGCGTGCGGAGTGGAAAGGGCCAGGGACCGCCAAGGCCTTGAGTGCTCTTAGCAAGCGGAGAACGCAGGCGGGCGTGGCTTGGGTAAAACGTGCGTTACCGCCGCCTTTTGTTATCTGGGTCGCTTCTCCGCTGGCTCTTTTCCCTGGTGTTCGAGCATGCCCTTTTGCGACGAGGTTGCTGTACCACGACGTTGTGGCGTTACCATCACTGCGACCGCGACTGGGACATGAGCGACGCGCCATCGGCATTTGCGAAAGAGCGACCATTACGACTACTGGGGCTGCCGTGATCGACGAACGACTACGCTCGGAGATTTAAACAGGTGGACCTGTGCGGAGCGGGATATGTCTGCTAAGATGCACGTCGTGAGCGCAGTCTTAGACGCGCGATCGAGTATGGGGTTGCCAAATCGGGCTCAAGTTGGTATGTTCGTCCCCGTCTGCTACTACTCAGCAACGCAACATCGTCGCTGACCACATCGCAGGCCAAAATTTCCTGAACCCTTACATCTACGACCCTTCTTACCCCCTGGCTATAACAGGCGCGATTGTCGTCCTGTTACTTTCCACATACTCGATTTACCAATATGTCCGCCACAAGGCGTACTTCTTCTGGGCGGCCATCATCGCCATTATCATGCTCGATCTGGGCTTCATATGCCGCTTAGTATCTGCCTACGACGAGCATAGAGAGTCGCCCTTCCTCGCCTCATGGCTCATGATCTTGCTCGCCCCCAGCTTCCTGGCTGCGGCATGCTACACGGCATTCAGTCGCGTAGTATGGTTTTCTTGCCCAACCCACGCGCTCAACTTCAAAACGCTGTGGTGCTTCCCTAGGTGGATTACCGCCAACTTTGTCTGTTTCGACCTCCTCAGTTTCCTCGTCCAACTCGTCGGCGCGAGTCAAATTAGTCGGCAGTATGATGAGGACACGCAAGGAAACCGGACCATTGCTGCTTCTGAACGGAAAGCGCTGCCTGGTCGGATCATCCTCATCATGGGTCTGGTGATGCAACTGCTCTGTTTCCTCAGTTTCTCCATCATCAGCATGCGGTACTTTTACATCAGCCGGCATTGGGCTGCACACGACCTTGGAGATTTGCACCTTTGGCGGAAATTGGGGTATACCATCAACCTCTCCTCAGTCCTCATCGCCTGCCGGGCATTCTATCGAACCATCGAGATACCACACGATCGCAACTACGGGCTAGCATATCTGCAGAGTCACGAATGGTGCTTCTGGGTCTTCGATGCCGCGCCCATACTTGCTGTACTAGTCGTGTTCGCTGTGTGGCATCCAGGTCGTTATCTGCCGAGAAGCTATACAGGATGCAGACTGGACAAGGGCAGGGCTGTTAAAGAGAAGGATGAGATCAGTTCGATGAACGGTGGTAGTAGTGGACGGGAGACCGAGCTGAGAGATTTCAAGCCCGAAGACTTCCAGTCTGGAAGGGTCGCGACGAACGTGTAAGATTTTGAAACGCGGATGAAGAGATTGTTTGTTCATGATACCATTGCATTTAGCGGGAGGCGCTTTGAAGCGCCACTGGGATGATACCATACTCAATGACATAATTGCATGCCCACTTTGACTGTGTCTTTCGACTTGCTGCTCTTCGCCATATCTGTGTTGATAGACGTGTGCTTCCTTGCCAGTCCTCTTGCCGCCCAGCGTCTCCTTCGTTTCGAAGCACATCTCGCACAACGACATGCACTGCTGGTGCAGGCCGCTTGTTGGTTATTCTCTGAACCTCGTGCTGGAGTGGCTACATGGCCGGTAAGGCTGTTGGTCGACTCATGAGCTCCAAGGAGTCGTAGATCCTCGGTCTCGTCTCTAGGTTTGTATCGGAATATTCACCAAATGGTTACTTGCTCTCTTCATATGTCGGGCTGGTAGTGCATCCTGAACTTCTTGTTCGCGCGATCAGCCGCTCTTGTCTGGAATTGTTCGGCGTTGAGCTCAAAGACCAGTGGCTTCATGGGCTCCTTTCCTTCTTCGACCGGAAGCGGCAACTCAAAGCGAATGATAGTGTGTTCCTTGGGTATAGCTGAGATTGTCAGATACTTACCACTTACCTGAGTCTAGCCTACAGGACTTACATTTCACAGCGTTATTCTTCGTGATGATCTCGAATGTAAATCTCGTATCACGGACGATGATGCCCTCCAAGCCTACGCGGCTCACGCAGCGGCTTCTCACCACACTCACAAGCGCACCGTGCATGTCGGCAGTCGCAAGCAGTTGCCCACTTGCGTTTGGCGTGACAAGCACATTCCTCGCAGCATCGTTCAGGCCTAGCACCTCCCGCATGTATCCCACCCACAAATTGTGTAATCCGTCGTAGATGGCATACTTCTGTTGCTCCTTGGGTATCTCGTTCAGGCACAATGCACGTTTCTTCGCAGCGGATAGCGGACGGGGCTGGTTCTTGCTGCGCTTCCTGGCGGCTTGTTTGCGCTCGTTGAGAGCGCGGCGGCGGACTGCGCGTGCAGACGGCGTAGGCGAGGTTGCGCGAACGTGGAGGGGGCGCTTTATGACGCGCTCGTGGTAGTGTGATTCTGCAGTTGAAGGAGAAAATGCGCGATGCAGCAGCGTCTGCGCAATGTGTGGGTTTGCGTCTGCCATTTCGAATTCGGTATCGCAGTAGCAAAAGTCGCAACTCGTCAGAAGCGCGAAGTTGGTGTTCCTCGACATGACGAGGAAGACGGCGGCACTAGTGCGCACAAAAGCGGGCTAGAGCGGTGGCTCGGCTATCGTTTTGTCCGCGCTGCCTCCCACACAATTTCGACAATTCGACCTCAGCTTCTCGACAACACCGCTAACCCGCAGCAACCGTCAAGATGAAGTACATGTACGTCTATCCCTCGATCACGACTCCCAAGCCGCCGCATCGCACGTTTTTCCCTGCCTCCGAACGGTCAATGGACGCCTCCATACCGAATTTCTCCGCCAACAAACATCAAATTCCGGAGCCAATGCTGACGTTTGCGCAACAGCCACTCTGAGGAAGAGCTCGAGATCCCCGAGGGCGTCAAGGTCCAGATCAAGAACAGAAATGTTCTCGTTGAGGGTGAGTGCGCATGGTAGAGGACCCCTAGAGAAACAACACTGACATATCCAACAGGCCCTCGCGTAAGCCGCCCGCAATAGCCTCTACGATTCTCGAACCGATTCTTACACTCCACAGGGCAAGCTCACAAAGTCTCTCGGTCACTTGGCGGTCAGCTTCACGCACGTACGTTTGGAACACACACATCGCATCGGGGGCATATGCTAAGACTGGAACAGCCCAAGAAGAACCTCATCAAGATCGAGCTCCACCACGGTTCCCGCAAGAGCGTCGCCACCCTCCGCACTGTCCGCACCCTGATTGTACGTCGCGCGCACCCTCGAGTCTATACTGGCAAGGAAGGAAGGACTGGGCTGACTGGAGTAGAACAATTTGATCATCGGTGTCACCAAGGGTTACAAGTACAAGATGCGTTACGTATATGCCCAGTATGTCGCACCCATTGCACATCTCTCCCGAACCCGCCGTAGAGCATGTTCCATCCGACACGACTTTCAGCGCTCTCCGAGAGGCTGACGCCAGAGCGCTGGGCGCGCCAGATTGGCTCATGCTCGTGGCGGGCGTTTGCACATCGTTGAACATGACTAACACCATGTCCAGTTTCCCCATCAACGTCAACCTGGACAAGAACAAGGAGACCGACTGCTGGGAGGTTGAGATCAGGAACTTCATCGGCGAGAAGCTCGTACGAAGGGTCGTCATGAGGCCCGGTGTTGAGGTTGAGGCATCAAAGAACCAGAAGGATCAGCTCGAGCTGTCCGGAAACGTAAGGACCGCCGCGCAACATGGAATGAAGCAATGCTAACCACCACCCAGTCGCTCGAGGACGTCTCCCAAGGTGCCGCCGATATCCAGCAAATCTGCAAGGTCCGCAACAAGGATATCCGAAAGTTCTTGGACGGTCTGTACGTGTCGGAGCGCGGCAACATCGTTGAGGACGCGTAAACGGTTCTGGGGAGTACGGGTTTCTTTACGGGCAATGAGCATCTATGAACTTCTCTGCATCATATGCGGTTGGCGCCTGGGGGTCTAAGATCAAAAACGATGTTCAAACAATACCACCATGACTTGATGGAATCGCGCCGGCACATTCACGATGAAGTGTGAGGTGATGAGAGGTCAATAAGATCAGTACTTGCCAAGAGACATGAACGATCTAAACTCACTTCAACACAACTGCGACTGCTTCTTGGCCTTTGGTGATGTTGCATGGTGTGAGCCCGTGCCTGAGGAGTCCAGCCTAGCACACTATGAATGAGATCACATTACGAGTAAGGATGAATCTGATGATCATTCGGTTCCATCTCTATCCATGCACGAAGAGACGCCTCCTGCCTCTTTTGGCGGCTGGACTGTCCGCGGATGTGGGATTTCCACATGACGTATCCATGGCGGCTCGTCGTGCCTGAACCCCGCATCGTTGTTCGTTGTAATATCTACCACCGGGACAATGATGAGGCTATCGCCGCAAAGCCCGACAATGACAGCTCATTGTAACCTCGATTGGAAAGCAGGTGGTGCAGGCACGGCGAAAGTGCCGTCATGGCGAAATATATGAGCACCGTGTCGCCCATACAGCTGTTGGTTTATTCACACCTCAGTTGCTTGCCCCACCACAGCCCTGCGAAACATCAAGGACCCCACTAAACACCAATCCGCAACCGATCTACTGATTTGCGACCATGGCGGACAAGCTCGATATTGAAGGGCTCCTCAAGGAGTCCAGGGCTGAATATAAGCGCTTGGGAAAGAGCGGTCTCAAGGTCTCGGTACCCATCTTGGGTGCTATGAGCATTGGAAGTTCCAAATGGCAGCCCTGGGTCATCGAAGAGGAAGAGTCGCTACCGCTGCTGAAGGCTGCATACGATCGCGGTCTGACAACTTGGGACACCGGTAAGACTGATAGAGCAGCCATGTATTTGCAACAGTTACTGACAGCTTATAAAGCCAATGTTTACTCCAACGGTGTATCTGAGGAACTGGTTGGCAAGGCCATCAAGAAGTACAACCTACCTCGCGATAAGCTCGTAATTCTCACCAAATGCTTTGGCTACGTTGGCGAGGACCCCGGTCTACGAACCATCCAGTACGGCAAAGAGCTGCCTCAGTTGAAAGACTATGTAAACCAAGGTGGGCTCTCACGACAGGCCATCTTCAACGCTGTCAATGCGTCGCTCAAGCGTCTTGACATGGACTATATCGATCTTCTGCAGATCCACCGCTTCGACCCGAACACGCCTCTGGAGGAGACGATGGAGGCGCTGCATGATCTGGTCAAGAGTGGTAAAGTTCGATACATTGGTGCCAGCTCCATGTGGGCAGTGCAGTTTGCGCAAATGCAGTTCACTGCTGAAAAGAACGGCTGGACGAAGTTCATCAGCATGCAGAACCACTACAACCTGCTCTACCGCGAGGAAGAGCGCGAGATGAACCGGTTCTGCAATGACACTGGCGTTGGTCTGATCCCAGTATGCTTCCCTTCTGACTACAAAGTCATTCTTTGCTAACAGCTTTATAGTGGGCACCTCTTTGCCGTGGCCATCTCGCACGCCCTCCCTCTGCATTCGGCTCGACTACTCGCTCAGAAGGCGAACAGAAGGCCGGTAACCAAACCTCTGGTAACACTGAACTTGACAAGAAGATCATTGCTCGCGTTGAAGAGATCGCGAAGAAGCATGACTGGAAAATGAGCCACGTTGCCCTCGCATGGATCAACAAGCGTGTCGCAAGTCCCATCATCGGCTTCTCCAGCACAGACAGGATGGATGAAGCGCTTGCAGCGAGGGGCAAGGAGTTGACTGAGGAGGAGGAGAAGTACCTCGAGGAGCTATACGAGCCCGTTAGAATTGTTGGGCATTCATAGGCAAATCATACAATAACATCGATAATAGCGGTCGGAGCCAACAAGCGATATATCAATCAATGTTGCGGTGTCAAATGCGAAGTCATCATGCATCTATATTGCTTTTCCAAGTGAGTAATTACAAAGTCCATATGGATACCTAGGTACCTAGGCAGCCCAGATCATCTCGCGAAAGTGGACAGTCCAGTAGAACGCTGACATGCATCTCCGCGTGGACCTTGAGCCCTTGCAGTAATCAAGTGGATCTCTGATTCACTCGGACCGCATTAGGGCCCGGAGCTGAGATGATACGCGTCGATGCGCGCTTTGTCCAGCGCCGAGCGGCCAATGACGTCGGTCACGCGATCTATCTCACCACCGTGCCTGATGCTCCGGAGCAACAACATAACGGCAATAGATACTTGGGAAGGTCAAAGTGCGAATAACGAGGCTCAATTGCTAGCTTCCACCCTATCTCGAGCTCTTTCGGCCAACAATGTTGGATGGACACGCAGGCCTCCACCGTTGGTTTGCTCCTTCCCCGCATTCTGGGTGATGCTCCCCTTCCCCGCATTGGCCCGACCATTCACGTCTCACGCCGATTGGATTGGACCACAATGTGGTGATCGATCAAGTGACCGTCTCCTGTGCCTGCCGGCGAGAGACTGAGCCCCTCATAAGCTGCGCCCTCCCTCGTTTCCTCTCCTTCCTCACAGCCTCCACTGTGCTTTCGTATCTCACATCACATCCACAGCTCCAGGCAACCCTTCTACAGCTTCCCAAGCTCTTTCATCATCTACAACCCCTTCAATCTTCCAGTAGCTTGACTGCAACTGCATCCTACCACAATGGCCGCAGAGACAGAAAACACGCTCCAGAAGGTCGACTCTTTGACCGATCACCAAGATGGCGCCGCTAAGAAGGGCCACCGCAGAGTCAGCTCCATGGCTGCTGATGTCTACCGCATCGAGGATCTAGGTGAGTACCTCTTGTGACGATAGCCCAAATGAGGGGTCGTGCGTGAGCAGCGGGCGGGGCTGACAGAACCTCAGAGAAGGAAGGCAAGAAGATCGAGATCGCACTCGAAACCCAGAAGCTGAACTGGTAAGTGATTGCCCTCATCGCGTTGTTGCGAGCCATCCGACCATGATGCAGACCAGCTCGTCGTCGTCCGGATAGCTCCGGCAGCCCCAATATCTTGACCGTGCTAATGCAGTACTTCCAGGAAGCTCAACAAGTCGCCGAGCACCGTCGAAGACCCGTCAGTCTTGAAGATGCCACTCACCGAGCCCAAGCTCAAGTCCATCGCCCTACACTTCCCGCTAGGATTAGAAGTTACCGCACGGAACATGAAAGGTGTAACCATCAAGGACGCACTAGATGCCATCCACAAGCAGTTCAAGAAGCGCGTAAGTGTCCCTTGTCATTGGATCTTACCATCGAGCATCGTTGTCGCTGTTCCTCTATACCGCGTACTTTGATCTTGGTGCCAAAGCATAGCTAACCCTCCTATAGGCAGACGACGAGTTCGAGAAGCCATACCTCATGGGCTTTGAGTGGGACCCAGAAGAGTGCTACACCCGCTTCATCGTCCACCAGTCGGCCGTTCCTACAGTAAAGAATGACTTCGGCTCAAGCAAGAAGAAGAAGAAGAACAAGGCCGAAGGCGAGGAGGGTTCCTAGATGAACGACTCGCCCCCTTCCCTGACGTCGACTTCTACACACAGCCTCAGTCATACTTCCGTGCTTCGGCGCTGGTATGTGCGGGGTACGGATAACTCGGGTGCTGGTCAATCTTCATATCGATATGGGAAGAGCGAGCGCATCTGCCGCGATGGCGTGTCTGGTATACTGTAGGCCTGCGTAGGTAGGCGGTTTACTGGTTGCGGGTATCGAGCGGTGGATGCGTCGTGGAACCGTTCGTGGGGTACTTGCTGAAGGGCAGTACCCGCTTATGTATGCTCTCGGGCACTCTTTGAGGTTGCTGGAAAGCACTTCATACAATGAGAAGACCTGGTTACATGTCATGTCCTCGAAGCTGTCTGTGATGTCGTTTGTAAAGGTTTGACGTTAACTTGGGCGGACCCACCCTACTGCGGGCAGCTCTCCACCACGCTGTAAGCGAAGGCACGCGGGCACGTTGCGGCTTCCGCGATCACAATTGACTGTTCTTCCGTACCGTCTATGAACGCGTCTCATGTATGCGACTCATTAGGTGTTCATTTATCGCATCTAGCAGTGTCACATGTGCGACACGATATATGCCTATGATGGCCGCTCAGCTGTCCTCAAATGGTGTAGCAAGTAGCCTTGCATTGGTAGCGCTGCAAGCGCTGGCGTTTCAGCACCCTTAGCATGAACCTTTGTCCTTCGACACCGTATTTTGAACATCAACTAATCAGTTTCGCTACCTCATCTAAACATATTTGTTTCTTTACACACGATTCCAGACGCCTACATACGCAGCCTACGCTCAAACGTTGTACGTGCAACATAGCCTAGCAGGAGGCCTACATACCGCCACAACAAACCAGCTCCCGGCACCCGCCTGTGTTTACTATCTGGAAACCGCGTCCATCAAATCATATATACATACCAATGCGATGTTCACAAACCTCCAGATAAGGCCTGCCAAGACCCGACGCCGCAAGCCTAGCTTGTCTATTCGGGCTGGCGTCTCAAAGCGTAGGGTTTCCACTGTTTCGGCATTGAGTGCGAGCATTGTTCCGTCCGTGAGCTTTATGGAAGGCCTGTTTGGCGATGAATTCCCCGAGGCCTTCGGGAGCGGGGCCCAGAACAGGAAGACCATCACGGACTTGCCATCGGAACTTCTCGAAATCGTCTGCCAGCACATCTCAAAGCTCGACATCAAGCGACTGCGGCTCACGAGCAAGCATTTGGCGGCCAGCGTGTATCTGCGTATAGATCGCGTCTATGTCTCGCCTAATCGAGCTAATCTGGACTATCTGCATCAGATCATGGCTCACCCAACGTACAAAAACCGTGTGCTCGAGATCGTCTGGGATGATGCCTTGCTCAATGAGTATTCAACTTTGGATGAATTCCGCCAAGCTGTTCTCGCCGACGAAAGAGAAGTTACCAG